TCTCACCTCAGCAGGGTCTGTGTATGGAATTTGTTATGAGTGGAGGCTTGGCCAGTGTGCTTTTTGATACTTTGCCTGCTATTGTCCACTATTAAAACCCACTCACCAGAACCCAGATGATTGCCAGTATAAGTTAAGAATTTTACTTCTCTTTCAGTCTCATAAAAGGACTGGTTCATCCCACCAGCCCTCCCTCCAAATACCTGCACTCACTACAGCACGATCAAATGTTTATCTGCATTTGATATAAAACGTCTTGACTTCAAGATAGGTTTCTTTTAAAATGCTGTTTAGCAAGCTATTGGTTTTGTGATTCACACTGTGAATCTTTCAAACAAAAAGCCTGAAATTGCAGCAGTATTTGGAGGAGAATTTTCTGAGGAACACAGATATGCTACAGGTAATCATCCTGATAATTTGGTATGCAACATATTTACCTCTTCATTTCATCTCAAGAGCCCATTATGAGTTCAGCAGATCCCTCGTTCTCAGATGCAAGAACTGTAGTGTTAAATGTTTTGTCTAAATACCAAATTTTATAATTAACCATATTTCTGTGTAAATTCCTTGTGGAATATACAGGGTAAGATGTTTGTCTAGCTAGTGATGGAGCCTGTGTGATGTTTTACAAGAACATTCATGCTGTATGTGCTGGTAAAACAGTCCTGAGTGCTTTCAGAGAGACTGAATGCAGATGTGGAAACACTTTTATCTCTTAGTTCTATCTTGGTTTAAGTTTTAGGCCATTCTGTGCTGCAGGTGCTGACAGCCTAGTTTAATTACATGCCACAAAACTTGCTCCTGCAGGAAGAGAAGAGGAGCAAGGCCTTCTTGTTGTGGTGAACTCTTATATCTGCTTGGTTGTTTTACATAACTTCCTACAGGGCTCAGGTTCCTGCATGCTCATTTTTGGGAAAGTGAAGATAAGCCAGATTTCCATCCAAACCAAGTTCCGGTCTCTTAGATATATGTACCACAAAATGCAATTTGGTCTCAACTCTTATCTCTGGATGTGGAGTAACCAACTGGGATGAGCTAATGTAATTAACCTAGCCATAGAGTTGAGGTGAGGCAGGTCATTTTTCTTCACATTGACTGAGTTAAGCCATCCATGTAGAGCTCTCCAGTAATTTTCACCAGATTGCTCTGTCAGATTGTCTGCCCATACCTTAAATTTAAGCCTTATGCATGGAGGGAGAGTTGTACACAGCATGGGAGGTTCAGACTGGGTAGTTCAGTTCAAATAAACTGTCCTAGCTTCATTATCTGCCATGTCTTACATTACATCTGCTATGTCTTAAACTACTGTTCCCTGAACATAAGAAAGAAAAGAGCAGGGTTTTTTTGAGGGGATTTTTATTAGGTTATCTTTAATTTAAATCACTTCTGTCAGTTCAGTAAACTACTAGGCCACATGAATGCTTGTGCCAATACAAAAGAGACCTTGCTGCAGAAAAAACAAAGGGAGAGTCTGGAGGGAGAGTCTTTTAAGCTGACAGTGCTTGTGGATCCACTATCAGTTAAGAATTTCTGCTCCCTAAATCAGATTCTCAACGTGTTTGGCCCAAATATAGTTTAGTCTACCAGGAAATAATCTAAAAGGGCACTCAGAGGACCTTCCAGGGTAAAGCCCTGTCAAAGTCATGTAAAGTAACCCATCCGTCTTAGTGAATGTGTGCTTTGGAGAAGAATAGAACCTTTTAATGTAGGTCAGAGTGGTGATAGCTCTGTTTATCTGTTACACCTCAAAAATTTCAGTATTGCCATTTGCAAACTGGGGAGGAGACAGATTTGCCCTCACACTAATCTTAATGGCCCTCTGGCAATAATGCAGATATTTGAGCAGGGAGAAGAGCAGAGATCTGTTTTTTATAGGATTGGTGCTCTTGCCATCATTACTTTGTGTTGGTTTTGATTTTTAAGCCAGAACATTTTCATGATGTAATTTATAATAGGATTCCTAGGATCAGTTACATGGAAATGACTTGGTCTCACCTTTCTGCTCAAAAGGAACCATGTTGTGGATGTGTCTAAGAAGGGCTTTCCTCCCAGACCACTGCAGTCCTGTGAGAGTGCCCTACACACAACCATCTAGCATGGTTCAGATGGTGTCTGAAGTTCCATTTAACTGGCCCAGGAGTGTGTCTAGATGAAATATTGTGTGACTGTAATAAATGTAAAGCTGTGATCACAGCATAGCCACAGCACAGACTCAAGTGGGTATAAAAATACGCTGGAAGGATAAGATGGATTAACTAATACTATTTTTGAAGGAACTTTTTTGAGAAATCTTTCAGCCTAGCAGCATTCTATTTAGCCCATTGTCACTACCCCAGGAGCTGCTGTCCAAGGGAGACAGGTCATATCTCTAGACAACCAGAATTCTAAATGTACAGCATCCATGTTAATTTCCTCTCTAAGCAAAAAGTAACATGGAATCATGATGATAACTGCAGTGGAGAAAGGTTGTCTTGATGCCACTTTACCTGTCTCAGCATCCTACATATTCAAGCAAATTAATTGTTATCTCTATAAAAGGCAGCAACACATAAATGTTAGATAATGCCAACCAAATGTCCCTTCTTGCACTAGACATCTCTTACCCTATCTGACCAACAATAAATGAACAGCAGGACAGAAGAACACAGCTTTCTGACAAAACAATTACAAAAAGCAAACTGTGCTTTGCAGCCACAAAGTAGAATAGAGGTGGAATCCCACATAGGGGAAAGTCCACCTTTGGACATTTGTTTGTCAGATAAATCCTGCTCTTTGGAAAGTTTTCTGAGAAAAAAATGCCTTTTACTTGGAAAGCCACTTGTGGGTTTTTTTCTGTCAGTTCTTGCTTCACGTCTACCACCTAGTGTTGATACAGTTTCCAAGTAAAGACTGCAAGTATGTTCTGCAGTTCTCTGCCCTGACCTGCTAAGAATTCAGCGAGTCCTTTGCCTTGATGCTTTTGTGCAGTTCTCACCTGAATGACAGCATTTAAAAACAGATGCATATTTCTTGAAAGATCTGCCTATTTTAATGAATAAAAAGTCTTTATTTTTCTATTTTCTGGAAGAAGAGAAAGAGTTTTTTTGGGGGGGCATTGTACTAAATGACAACAAGGTTTGGAAAGATTTGGATCCTTACACATCACTTAGAATTTAAAGTGAAGTTTGTCATCTTTGCAGTGCTAACTGCTTCCCTTAGGTTAGCATTTCTTCTGGAAGGACAGTTACACTGCAATAAAAACAACCTTTCAGCTGCTCAAAGTTAGGCCTAGCACAGCTGGGAACTTGCTGAGCTTCTTCAACTCACACAGAAAGCTATTTAGGTGTTGGGGTTTTTTTATCAGCTGGGATAGTCTTGTGTCAGGTTAGTGAGATGAACTGGTTTATAGGGGATCCAGCAAGAATTGAATTGCTCAGAGTAGCACAGAGGAATGGGGATCTTGTTGCAATGAGTTATCAAATCAATTTCAGCCTTGCACTCATGAAACAGAGAAGCTAAAGCAAAACATGTAAGTGATCCATATTTTTTTCAGTACAGTTATTTTAAAAAATGATTTAAATCTAAATTGAACTAAAGTGAATCAGGGGGTTGAATCATAGATTTTTCTGGTTCACGTGTGGAAGGAGTAACCTGTGATTTTGGTAGTGCTGGGAGTGATGAGGTCTTCAGTGGGCTCAGTGTGTTCTGTAGGGATACCTGACTGCTGTGATGGCAGGGGCAGACCCCTCGTCCTACCAAAGACAGCAGTTCTGTATGCAAGTAATACGATGCAGGTTCAAGGATGTACCTTTGAACCAACTCATTGTAAAGACAGAAGAAAGATTTTTAAACCAACAATGATATTAGTATTACAAGCCAAAGAAGGTTCATACTGAGAAACCAAAGTAAAACATGAAAAGTGGTAGATCAGCATATACTGGAACAACTGTGTATCCATGTCACTGTATAAATGAGTATGATCAAAAACTATGCTTTTCTGGGGATCTTTCTGTTGATTTCTCAGAATTATTTTAAAAATGCTAGTCAAATGGCAGATAAAATCTACCTTGGTGGAAAGTAATTGCTTTTAAAATGTCACTCATGAAAGAATTGACAAGAAAATAATGAACCATAGAGCAAGAAGCAAAGCATTATACCCAGTAATATTTTTGTGTAGGGTTTCATGAAGAGGGATTTAGGTGGAATTTAGGCCTCTGTGTACAAAGAAACCTGGTGGCTGTTGCAGCTGTAGTAAGGATTTGACTGTTTGACTTCAGTTGTGCCCTTGTGTGTGCCCAGAATTGTGACCCATCTTTGGCCTGGCTCTGTAGGTCTATGCCCAAACATGCATGGCAGATCCAGAAAGGAGTTGTTTTGCTTGAATATACTGAAAGAAAAACCCTGGAAACACGTGCCTCACAGGCAATACAGACAATCCTAAAACAAAGCAGCGGCCAGTGGGATTTTGCAGACTAACAGTTAGTTATGGCATGGCATTTGTCTCTTACCAAGTCCTTGTTCCTTGCACCATTTTTGTGTTTTCTGTACTTCAGTGGGTTACTGGACAAGGCAGTCCCCTCGCCCAGCACAGAACAGGGACCAGAACCCATGCCTGCCCCTTCTACATGGGCATCAGCTCTATATACTTGCATTCTGGCTCACTGGATTCTCCAAGTTCATTGCTACGTGGCACTGCACTTTCAGCAGGCAGATGGGGATGGTCACCAACCCCAGCACAGGCAGTGGGAGAGCCTAGGAGGAGGGTAAATGCTGGTAAAGGACTTAAGTGTTGTGTTTTCCCCACCAGCCCTGCCTAACCAAAAAGAAGTTCTCTTATGGCTTCAACTGTTTGTTTAATTGCAGAGGACTAACTCGTTAGGAAGACCATAGAGTAATCGGAAATGATGGGATGAAATTTTAACTGTACATGTTTTCTTTGATCAGTCAAAGTATTGATTTCTTTCAACTAAGCCTGTTAATTGTGGCATGTAGGTGAGCCAAAGCATGTGGGCAGAGGTTACATCTTTTCTTAGACTGACTGACATGACTGGTCATGTCAGCTCATAGTTAAGGATTATGATGGGAACTCATACCTTGGTTTAGTTTAAATGACTGACAGTGACTATATGAAACGGAAGCAGGCACGTACTCATGTGGGTAACCTACACTCATAAATATGTATTTAATTTCTTAGTACCTGAGAGAATCTATTTGCATGCTAATTTCATAGAAAGTTCATTAAACCAACCTGTTGTATGGCTGATGGATCAGCATACAGCTGTGTTCTGTTGAGGTCTTGCATTTCTTCCTGCTTACAAAGCCTTTCTAACAGTAACTTTTTGCCTTCTGTTACTGTGTGCACTCTCTCTGTGAATAGCTTTTGGAAGTGGAGTATGGTGTTTTCAGAAGCACTTTTCTTAAGTGGAACAGGGGACACCTCTGTGGACAAAAGCAAAATATGTAGTTAGAGTGCAGAAGTCAATGAACTGCTGACACTGACATTTAGCATATGCTGGATTTTCCTAAAGCTGTCCTTCTGTTCTGCTCTCTTGGCAGGCATTGCCTGGTGTTGTGTAAGGTGTCAGTGTATAATGGAGAGTAGGAATGTGGCAGACCTTGTACAAATAAATCACTTACATCTGAAACTTTCAGTTTTGCCTAACAGCTTTCTGCAAGACATACTTACATAATAGGCAATCAATGAAAGTGTATTTAATCACACAGAGTTAGTCCTGTTAGTGCAGTTTGTGATGGTGAACTGAGCAGGTTGATTTCAGAAATGTCATGGTGTTTGTATCATTTGTGTTCATCTGTCTGTAGACAAGACATCATTTAGTGTTAAAAATAGGAGTGAGCCTCCTAAAAACTATGTTTGTCATCCCTCATTGTTTGACTTTCTGATCATTTAGGGCCTGACAATTCTGCAGGAAGAAAAATAAGCTCCTGACCTTTCCTATATCAGATTGCATGCTGCGTATTTCTATACTTCCCATGATTTTTCTCTCTCCATGATTCTACCTTCTCTTTGGAATGGCTGTCCTGACCTGTCTTCTTGTGTTCAAGACATCAGACATGTTAGACATGATATGTCTACACACAGAATTTCTCTCATTTACAGACATCTAGTGTAATATGAGGAAATCATATCCATGACTGTGATATTGTCCCTGTTTTCCCCTAGCAACACAGGTAATTAAGATACTTCGTTGTAAAAATATTTTTAGGTTTTCCTTGCATATGATTCTTATAAATAAAAGAAATATTTCCTGATGTTTGCCTCATTTATACCAAGGATGAGGATTGAAATAAAGTGTTTTCCTTAGGTCCACATTTTTTTCAGAACTCTTCTGCAGATTGTTGTGGGTGAGAGAAGAATATTGGTTTGGAGCTTGGTGTTAAGTTCTAGGATTATTTCTTTTTAATTGAGTACTGGAAACAAGAATCTGTCATCCAATTCAACAGCAGTATATAGATGCTTTTAAAAGTCAGGGGCTCTTACCATCATTCCATGTTTTTCTCTTGATACTCAGGGATCCTGTGTGTGCTGTAACATCTCCCACTGAAACTTAGAAGAGAAAAACAAGGTGACTAAGTATTTTGCAGAGATTCTCAAGGCAGTCAGTCACACACCAAAAAGCTTTATACTACAAAAGCAAATGCACTGGGACAAGTGACCTGGAGCAATGAGATTCAACTAGAAAAGTTAGGTGCTGGGTTGGCACATAAAGTCAGGGTGGAAAGACATTTATTTGGCAGATGCCTCAAACAGATAATAACTAAAGCTTCTTTCTTGAAAGGTTATTGTTTTACTGTCTGCTGCATCAGCATTCACAGCCCAGATTACACAGTCCTTTTCCAGCATGCTAAAATGTAAACCAGCCAGGTTGGTTCAAATGTTCTTGTTGACAAATTCCATTCATAGAGAGCAGAAATGAGCAGTAATATCTTCACTTTCTGTATTTGGAAGAAAATATCTGTCTTGAGAATGTGATTGAGCACAAGGATGAGGCAGGGGAGAAGCAGTGGTGTCATCCCATAGCTGTGTGAATGTATTTCAGCCTCAACTCATGCACTACTGTGTGGTGCCTTTGGACACCACATTAGGGCTCTGATTCATGGCTGAGGACAGCTGGCTTAGGGATGGTTCCAGCAGGTTCTGCTGAAGCTGTTCCTCTCGCCTCTGCTGCAGAAATGGTTCGAGTCCTCAACTAACATTTGTGACATTCCAAATTATTATATAACATATTGAGAAAATTCAGAATTATTTCTGGTTATATATATACACTGAGCTCTAAACCACAGAGGTTCACTTGCTTCTACAAGACTATCTGCTTTGCCTGGAGCAGGGGCTGGTGCCCCTCAGAGCTGGAGCAGTTGTTGGCCAGTCATGAGAACCCTTGCAGACATGTGTGGTTCCTAGGTCAGAGGTCTGTTGATACTAAAGCAGAAGCAAACTCTGTTTTGAAAACTGAATCTGCTTTAGCAAAATTAATACGGTAATTAAAAGCGCTCAAATAAACATCACTGCCCTGGATTTTTCTCTCTCTTGACTGTGGTGTGAATTGAATTAATATAGCTTGGGTTTTTGTAGTCCTTGCGCTTGGCTAGATTGCTACAAATTTCTGCAGTTCTAAATGGAATGAGCTTGTGGCTCTTTATCTGTTAGACTTTACATGCCTGATATGTGACCTCTAAAACCTGCCATATTTTCTAGCACCATTTCATTGTATCTCGCTTAGGCTTCCAAAAGCAAAGATTCTCCAATAATATTGAACACTTTGGGTGCTTTCACTTTTTGGTTAATATTCTCACTTCTACACTCCTCTATAGACCATTTCTGTTCACTGAGTATTCCTTACATGACCATGTGGATACAGCTTCCTCAGTTATGTTCTCTCCCCATTTCTAGTCACACATTTCACCCCTACAGCATGGCTCAAAAGGCAACCTTAAAATGTTTCACTTTAAGCACTTTTATCTCATCACCAAAGTTTTTATTACCTGATAGGAGACTTGAGCTTTCACATCCCCAAGCTGAGGGACCCAGAGGTTGTCTTCTTAAGATACAGTCAACTTCATCATAAAATCTCATTTTTCTCCTCGGATTTCCAAGGTGCTCATTCTCCTTCTGCAGTGCACGGTATTCATATTTTAGGTTCTTGTACTTTGTGCGACATTGTTTCCAGTCTCTGTCTATGCCACGTTTCATTAACCTTCTGGCAATTTCCTCAAATATTTCTTTATTTCTTGTGGCCCCTTCAAGCATTTGTTGGATCTTTTCATCCGACCATATGTTTATCAGGGCTCTAACTTCATTATCACTCCAGTGTTTTCCTGCTCCAGTATCATTAACTGTAATAACTTTAAAGTGATTTTGTGCTTCTTCCAAGGGAATGTGACTGTCTGAAAATATAAATGAAACAACGACTAACTATAAATACTATAAATATATGCTAAATATACATATATTAAAGTGTCATTGTAACTAATGATTAATCATAGAATCATAGAATCAACCGAGTTGGAAAAGACCTCTAAGGTCAATCTTTTAACTTTACAATGTTCCTAGCCATAGATGATTAGTTTTCTCTTAAGTAAGCAACATATGTAGCAAGTGCAATCTCTTGTTTTTCCAAGGCCTCTACAATGCAACATTTTGTCAGTGTAAGTTTGTTGCCCTTGTTGTCAAATTAAAGACAGATGTAGCCAAGTGTTACATGTAGTAAAGCAATAGCCCTTAAGTTTTAAAGCACAAGATTTCAGCGTTGGTAAGAAAATGGCTTTTCAATGTGGTTTCAAATTAAATGGTAAGGCAAAATATCATGCAAATGAAAATGCTACTGGGGATTCAATAGAAGGAAAAATTCTTCAGATTCAAAAATAGCAGTAGGCAGATGCTGCTCATCAGATAAATACAGAAGGCAAAGTGGAATTACAGTATTTATGCAAGTTTTGCTCATGACAGGGAATAGAGCTATGAAATTAATTTTTAAGTTCAGTGGTAAAGCTAGACTGGAGTCAAAAGCAGAAAAGTAGAAGTGTGTGTACAGTAGAAATCTGGTTGTTCCAGCTTTGGTACTGAAACTACACTGTGATTTATTTCAGAATAAATGCATGGAAATTAATACTCACCTGTCCCGACCATCCGTTTTGCTACTGGTGTACAAGATCTGTCTTCTGAGGTAGTGCTTATAGAATCATCATCTGTAGAAACACAATTTTAAATAGACTTGGACTTGGACAAATAAATTGCTAAGATTGTGGTCATCCTCTGCAGGAAACACCTATTTTCATTAAAAAAATGTCCTAACCCCTTAGTCTAACCAATCAGTTACAGAATTGTAGAATCACAGAATCCTAGAAGTGTTAAGGTTGGAAAAGACCTCTAAGATGATTGACTCCAACCATTAATGCAGCACTGCCAAGTCCACCACTGAACTATGTCACTAAGTGCCACATCCACACATCTTCTAAATACTTACAGGGATGCTGACTCCACCACTGCCCTGGGCAGCCTGTTCTAGTGCTTGACCAGCCTTTTGGTGAAGAAATTTTTCTTAATATTCAGTCTTAAGACCCTTCACCAGCTCCGCTGACCTTCTCTGAACATGCTCCAGCACCTCAATGTCTGCCTTATAGTGAGGGGCCCAGGACAGTACTCAAGGTGTGGCCTCACCAGTGCTGCATACAGGGGAACAATCACTGCCCTGGTCCTGCTGGCCACACTATTTCTGATACAGGCCAGGATGCCATTAGCCTTCTTGGCCACCTGAACACACTGCCACCTCATGCCCAGCTGGCTGTCAACCAGCACCCCCAGGTCCTTTTCCACTGGGCAGCTTTCCAGGCAGTCTTTCCCCCAGCCTGTAGCGCTGTGTAGAGTTGTGACCCAAGTGCAGGACTCAACACTTGGTCTTGTTGAACTTGGCCTCAGCCCATGGATCCAGTCTGTCCAGATCCCTCTGCAGAGCCTTCCTGCCCTCTAGCACATCAACACTCCTGGTCAACTTGGAGTACTCTGCAAACTCACTGAGGCTTGATCCCTTTGTCCAGATAAAGATATTAATCAGGACTGGCCCCAGTATTGAGCCCTGGGGGACACCACTAGTGACCAGCTGCCAGCTGGATGTAACTCCATTCACCACCACTCTGGGCTCGGCCATTCAGACCATTTTTCACCCAGCAAACAGTGCATCCATCCAAGCCAAGAGTAGCCAGTTTCTCCAGGAGAATGTGGTGGGAGAAACTGTTGAAGGCTTTACTAAAGTCCAGGTAGACAACATCCACCACCTTTCCCTCACCCACTGAGCAAGTTACCTTGTCATAGAAGGAGATCAGGTTTGTCAAGCAAGACTTGCCTTTTCTAAACCCACACTGGCTAGGCCTGATCTCCTGGTTGTCTCACATGTGCCATGTGATGGCACTCAGATTATCTGCTCCAAGACCTTCCCTAGCACTGCAGTCATGCTGACAGACCTGTAGTTCCCCAGATCCTCCTTCCAGCCCATCATATTTGCCAAACTCCAGACAATAGGGACCTCCCTGGTTAGCCAAGACTGCTCATAAATGATGGATTTATGAGCTGGGTGAGCTCTTCTGACGGCTCCCTGAGTACCCTTCCATGGATCCCATCCGGCCCTAAAGATTTGTGTGTTCTAAGTGCTGTAGCAGATTGTTGACCATTTCTCTTTGGATTATGAAGGCTTCCTTGTGCTCCCCATCCCTGTCTTCCAGGGGCTGGGTACCCTGAGGACAGTTGGTTTTGCTATTGAAGACTGAGGCAAAGAAAATATTAAGTACCTCAGTCTTTCATCATCCTTTGTGAGTCTGTTTCCCCTGCATCCAATAAAGGACAGAGCCCTCCTTGTCTTGCTGGTGTATTTATAGAAACATTTTTTATTGTCTTTTACAGCAGTAAGCAAGATTAACTTCTAACTGGGCTTTGGCCCTTCTAACTTTCTCCATGTATAACCTCATGACATCTTTGTAGTCCTCCTGAGTTACCTGCCCCTTCTTCCAAAGGCCATAAAGTCCTTTTTATCCTGAGTTCCAGCCAAAGCTCTCTGTTCAGCCAGGCTGGTCTTCTTCCCTGCTGGCTCATCTTTTGGCACGTGGAAATGGCTTCCTACTGTGCCTATAAGATTTATGGATGTCCAGATCTTCAGAGAATGTCCAGACTTCTTGGAACTCCTTTGCCCCTCACAGTTGCCTCCCAAGGGTCTCTCTCAACCAGTCTCCTAAACAGGCCAAAGTCAGCCCTCTCAAAGTCCAAGGTGACAGTTCTGCTGACACCTCTCCTTATTTCTCCAAGAACTGAAACCTATCATTTTGTTGACCACTGTGCTCATGAGGCCTCGAACTGCCACATCACCCAGTAGTCCTCTGTGTCAGGCAGTTATGTGCCACACACTCCAGGAATCTTCTGGAGTTTCTTCTCTGCTGTGTTGTATTTCTAGCAGATATCTGGAAAGTTGAAGTCCCACACAAGACCAAGGGCCAGCAATTGTGAGATTTCTTCCAGCTGTTTATATAATATTTCATCTGCCTCTTCACCCTGGCTAGGCAGTCTGTAAGCGATTCCCACCAGGATACCTGCCTTGTTAGCCTTCCCCTAATTTTTACCCATATACACTTGACCCTATTGTCACTACCATGAGTTCTAAACAATTAAAACACTCTCTAACATAAAGGATACCTCACCACCTCTCCTTCCTTGCCTTCCCCTTCTGAAGTGTTTATAGCCATCCGTTGCAGCCGTCCTGTTGCGTATCATCCCACTCTTGTCTTCAAGATGGCAACTATGTTACAGTTTTCCTGCTGCACAATGGCTTCCAGCTCCTCCTGTTTGTTGTCCATGCTGTGTGCATTGGTGTCAGTGCACTTCTGTTGGGCTATTGATCCCACCATCTTTTTCTGGGGAGAAGCTCTAATTCCTACATGGCCATTCTCAGGTGCTTCTGTGGTTTCTAACACACCAATAACCCCTGTGTCTTTCCTGCCACATGGATCTTCATCCCCCAGCTCTATTGAGATGGCAGATCAAAGTACTTCTCCAGCACACCATCTCTCAAACATTGGCATGCTGCCACCAGGCTTATCTCCACCAAGTCTGGTTTTACCTCTTTCCACCTTCAAATCTAGTTTGAAGCTCTTTCAGTGAGTCTGGCTAGCTCCTGTGCTAAGATCCTTTTTCCCCTTTGAGACAGGTGTCAGTAGGTCTGGCGACATGTAAATGGAACCATGATCAAAACACCCAACATTTTCCCAGGTGGCACCAGGCTTGGATCCAGGTATTGGATCTGCTGGCTCTTCCTGTTTCTTCCCTCCTCATTCCCTGCAACTGGAACGATAGGAGAGAACACTACTGGTGCTCCTAATCCCTCAACCAGTTGTTTCAAGGCCCTGAAGTCTCTCTTGATTGCCTTCAGGCTCTATTTGCAACTTCATCACTGCCTGCATGAAAAATCAGCATTCTAGAAATCATCTATGAACATCAAAACCTGCCTTTGCTGGTCCTGAGCTCACTCCCTCATGCTTGGACTTCTCTGAGACTGAAAGTTCACTTTTGTGTGGAATTACTTTTTGTATTGGAAGAGAAAGATTAATTCTCATTGTTTTGGTAGGGGATGTCACAGACCAACTATCTTTAATACTGTTTTTGGTAAAGGGTAGAAGTAAATATTCCTTTTATGTTTTGAAAAACTGAGTGCTTAGTTTAGGCTCTGTCAGATATAAGAGATTGTTTATAAATAAGCAAGTTAATTGGATGTGCTTTATCTAGTGGTACTTGCCAATATATGCACAGAGTAGTACTTGGAATTCATATTTGCTCTATAACTTGCTTTCACTGAAGTGATTTGGCAAATACTTCTTTTCCATAAACCATGTAAAGGAATAAATTTTATACCTATGGAAAACTTAGAATCAGAAATTATACTCTTAGAAGCATGTGTGTGTAACCTACTTGGGGTACTAGAAAAAAAGGTGGCTTTTTTCATAAACAGGCACCCTGTAACTCTTGAAAAAATTCTTACATATTTCTTAACAGTTGCAGTTATTGGAAATGGGCCAAATTGGAGCTGCAGATCTACTCCTAGGCTTTGAATGGATTTATTTTTTAAAAAAACCACTCTTACCAAACCCCCCCCATGGCTTTCATTTCTGTGCTCATTCTTTCAACCATAGTGGCTCTCTAATCTCTTTCTGGCTTTGGCAATGGCACTTGTGTAGTGCTGACTTGCATGATTACTGTCCTCAGTTGGATATTACATGACAGGAACAGGGAATTTGTGTGTACAAGGCAGTCAGTTGATCTTCATGGCATTTTATTCTTCGCTTTGCATTAGTGTGACCTTGTCATGTCTCTCAGTTCTCAGGGTCATGGATTTACTTTATCCTCGGCGTCACTTGTGTCCATGTTGTGATGGCATTGCTCTGATGTTGTCCTCAGTGTCACACTGGCTACAGTTGCCTTTCACAATCAAGATCAGCCAATGCAAACAGTTGTAAAGGCTGTGTTGCACAGGGTGTCTCAACACCCAAACTTCGGATAACATAGTTGCTGACAAGGAAGCTCTCACCTGGAAATGTCTGATGCATACAATAGAAGTATTCTTATGGTAGAAGCTTTCAGTGTCAAAGGCAAAGGAATTGCTGTTCACAAAATCATTACTGATTTTTTAATTTTTTCCATTAAATTCTGTGTACAAACAGCACTACTGTGAAGTATATTTTGATCCAGGTTGTCAGGTCACTAGATTTCAATGTCATTGTTATTTCCTCTGATGTCCTTTTTTTCATTAACTTCTATGGTTTCTATGTTCATTTATGCCAGAATATTGATACCCTGACTGGGTTCTGATGTTAAATTTTAACATTTTAAATAAAATAAATCCTCTTCTGATTGTCACTGAATATATGACTTCTACATATTGCTGAGGCTCTGGTTTCAGTTTTACTTGTAGAATAATTCAGAATATTTTTGGCATTTGAGAATAGTCTGAAACTAAATGCACAGTCATGAAGTAGTTTGAAAATACAGACAAGGTATAAAATGTTTTGAGTTTCTGAGACAGCTATTTAGCTTTCCAGTTTATCCTCTCTAGTAGCTGTGTAAGAAAAACAGTATTTGTGTCACAATCAAATCCAGACTAAGCCTATCTAGCATAAAAAAGAGCATGTTGTCTGGGATAATAAGATTTTGTTATAATTATGGGAAGGAGAAATAACTTGATACATTTTTGCACTGTGAAATCTAAACAAAATCCATATTTTACCATAACCTAGAATTAGAATGAGTAGAATGTGCTGTTACAACTATCAAGACAAAGTCTTGACCTACCTATGTCAATTGTCTCCTTCTTTATTTGTGTAGCTTCCAGAGCTGCTGGGGTGGAGTTGGCAAAGTCCCCCTCATCTTCAAGGATTTCTGTAAAAAAATAATAATTTACAGAGTTCTTATTAACTAAGGTCCTGAGTGATGTCTTGAGAATCAGCAACTTCAGAATGCCATTAATGGTAACTATTGTTAAAGATTTCCTCTCTTAAGACATTGAAGCTGCCATTTCTCTGCAGTAGTGGGCTTAAGAGCACAGTGTACCTTCTCATATATTAAATTACATCCAGAACACCACGTAACAGATGCAGAAGTTTATGGGCTGAATGTGCAAACTCTTACGTTATTTAAACCTGGCTCAGAATTTGTAGAATGGTTTACCGATTGTGGTTGTAAGATATCTAGTAACTGGCAAATATCTATGCAGCAGAACAGGCAAGACAGTGACTTTCATAAGGAGTGCAATGTCTACTGAAATTTTTGAGGGGCTCCTGGATGACTGATGCCAAGAGTGTCTGAATGAGCCCCCAAAGGGCAAGTGTGCTGACATTGCATCAGGGTGCTGTGCCTGCTCAACTGATCTGCCTGATGAAGACAATGTACTAAATGTACGTCCCGAGAGCATCCCCACTACTGCAGCTTGCTGAGAGTTTACATCAGACAGCTGGTGACAAAGGTGCCCCTGGGCTCCCCTCCATGGGGAGGAGATCTCTGCTCCTCTGCCATTGGCCCGCTGGTGTTTAAGGGAGAATTCCACCCCTCTGCCCTGGAACAGAGGGGATGGGCAGGTGGATGATGCAAGTGGTCTTGCTGATCCTCTCTTCCAGGTGAGGACACTGCTGTACAGAGATTAGATGGTGAAGGCCACATCACGGATCAATGAGAGCAGTTTCTGGCTCCCAGCCTGTTCTCAGTCCATTCAAGAATATTGCCCCTAAACATTGAGCAATAAAGTTTAATCTAGGGCCATTTTATTAAAAATTACCCCCCAAATCAATAGAGCCTTATTTACATCAGATGTTTTTTACAATGTGACCAGCATCATGTGCCTTTTTATTTTTCCCCTGTAGTGAGCCAAGAATGTGAGTAGGGAGCTTGGCTTTTTTTTCTTAGGCATCTTTCAGAGTTTGTGGAGGGAGGGCACGAGAAGAGCAAGACTGAGCCAAACAGAACAAGCCGTCGACAGTTTCTGGCATGGAAAAAACACAGTGGCTCCATCCACATTGTTCAGTGAAGCTATAGAGAGCTGCCAACAAATATGCTTAATCTCTACTTTGTGATTGAAGCAGTGCTCGCAAGGCCACTAGAGCAATGCTGTCACAGTCTTTCCTTTTACCCACTCAGACTGATACAAGCTCTGTTCTCTTTTGGCACTCTGTCACTATCACTAATTATCCTGTTTTCTGGCTCATGAGGCAAGATTAGTAATTTGTCTCCTAATCCTTACTCTCATGTGTGTCTTGTATAGTATAAAAGGGAAGTGGAAACGTCAAAGCTAGGGAAAATTTTCAGTGTGTGGCTTATGTTTACTCTCCAACAGTTTGAAAAGTTGCTGCCATCTCTGTCATACAGATCTAGGAAAGTGGAAACAGAAAACTTGGGTGCACAGTTAAGTGTTTGTGTCTGCAGCCCAAATATGCCTAGGCTAAGCCAATGAATAATCAAGAACTCCTGGTTTTGCACTTGTCTGCAACACTACTTCACACTAGCCTGAGGCATATGTATTAAAACATCTTTAGACTTTATATCTGTACATTTTAAAATTCCAAGCACACAGCAGTAAGTGTTCAAGCCAGCATAAGTGCCTGAGTATGTACCAACTTAAGATCGGAGCTTTAAACAACAGATTTTTAAAAAGTCCTTGCTTAGGAATCTATCTTGTCAGTGTCATGACTTATTCCAAATTTGCTCTGAGAGGGACATATAGCAAAGTGTGCAGGGCACCAAAAATCCTAAGAAAAACAGTGACATCAAAGTAATTTGTTTGAATCAAAATACTTGTTACAGGTATTTTTAAGAACATCAGTGTACTTGCATTCGTTAGAAACCTGTTTTCGTCTCGTGTTGTTCCCTGGCACTTCAGTTTTAATAAACACCTACACACAGTCTGTGGTCATACTTCAAAGTCTAACACATGTGGAATGTATATGGAGTTTGAATAGATGGAGTGCACTGCCTGGGCAGACTGAAGCCACTGGCTTTTCTGAACAGATTTCTGGATTTAAGTGCCCTTAAAGTGATCCCACGAAATACAAAACATCCGTGGAAATTACTAAATAGGGGTTTATTTGCAGATCGATTCCATGTGCATATGTTTTATCAGGAGAGAGGGGGAACCCAGCCTGTCCCGAGCCTGTCCCCGACAGGTCCCAGACCTGTCCCCAGCCTGTCCTCAGTCTGTCCCCGACAGGTCCCAGACCTGTCCCCAGCCTGTGCACAGTCTGTCCCCGACGCTGGGAAGTGCTGTGTGGCTCCTGCTCCCCCTGCTGGGCAGTGCCGCCAGCGACACGGGCCAGAACTGTAAGGATTCATCGCCTCTGCCTTCCCATTCTCACCTCTGCCTTTCCTGCTCTTTGAGTAGCAAATACATGTGGGTAGAGAAGAAAAACAATACCATGACACATAAATAAATAGGTATTTTCCTGAAACTCTATTGTCTTTTGACTAACACCATCCTAATATTTCCTTACAGTAGTATGGAAACAAACATGATCGGGCTGTTTAAATGATTGGCAGTGGTGACATAACACAGATTCACATGTAAAATCCTGAGAAGCACCGGCACTCTGAGTCAGCTCCTGCATTTTCTGTGCATTTATGCAGCTGTAGATGCCACAAAGCAGGTGCCTGTCCAGGCTAGCTCATATATATGTAGGCAAGTGCATGTATACCTCTGGCTGCAAAGTACATGAACTGCATATACTGAATAGCAAGATACCCTGATATGAGGTTAACAGAATTTCTAAATCTCTATTTATGTCAAACTGTGGGGGGTTTACAGTTGTTTTTTTCTTAAAGTCACATAAATATATATAAATGTAATAATTACATGCCTGTTGAGAGACAGTTTTCTACAAAAGTTCTGTTGAATATGGAGTAGCTCTTAAAAAGTCACATCCTAAGTGCTGTTGTCAGGCATTACTGATATCAAAGAACCAATGTAATGTATCACTGCCTAATTGCCTTTTTCACTATTTATCAGCAAGTAAATTTATCAGTACAGAGGTACATATATTCTCTTTACTTACCAGTTTCTCACTTCAAAATTATTTGAACTGTCCAGGAAAGGCATGTGCCACAATTAGAGAACAAAGAGTCTCCATGATATTGTAACATAGAAGTATTCATCTTTTCTCTGCTTCATGCAATACCTAATTATGTTACCATTAATAACATTAAAGTCTGGGTGTCTTTTACCACCTGCGATAAAATAATTTGAATCTGTATTTTTGTATATTCGTAAGAATTTTGGAAACTGAAACTGCTCATGATGGAGTGCTATGGGTTTGCCCTTTTTTCTCCACAAAAGTTTGAAAAGTCTTTAGAGTGGATAGGCTGAGCCACAGACTCTTCTGAAACACTCACTATTTTAATCTTTCCACACAAAATCCGACTGCATTTACAATTATCCAAACCAAACAAAATATGCAGTTAAAAACCACACATTTGAGAAGGGAGATGGTAACCAAGGTAGGCTATAGATACCTTAATACCTACACTTATCCTAAAGGAATGTTAAAAGTGTCAAAAATACATACTCAAAACTTCACTAGAAGTATTGTTAACTTCATCTTAAATAACTTGTTTGGAAGGTCAAAAAGTTAAAATATTATGTAGCTGCAGGCAGTTGAAAACTTTGTCAGTTGATAGTTAAGCAGCACTGCTGAATCTATATATGTTACAGTGTCTTACTGCTGTTTATGTATATGTAATAATTTTACTTGTTGATGGGGAGAAATGGAATTCGATGCATTTACAAGTGGTCTTAACTGGATCCCCAAAGTGCTGTTTAAGTCTTTCATTTTTTGTCTCTCTCAACATGAGGTCCCTAGGGGCAATGCACTTTTTGTGACAACCTATTTTTCTCCAATGAATGCCCAAGTGCCCATGGTGATCTGGTAAAAGGCCAGCTATATGGGTTTTTTGTTAGTAAATTTAAATTCATGAAAGTAATTTCTCTTCAATAAAAAAAAACCAAAAATGCTACTGTCTGGTATACCTGATATTACCTCTCATGGTCAACCATGTGTTTACTTACTTGTCACAGCTGTTTCTTTCGTTATATGCAGAGCTGCCCGATTCTCTGGAGTAGCATTTACAGTAACATCATCTGTCAGAAGATTTTTAATCTGATATTAAAATCTTTCAAGTTCATGTTAGACCATTTTAAATTCTGTAAGGCTACTCTTTAATGCATAATTCAAACCATGCTACTGAAAGAGATCGTGAGGTGCTCTGTTGTGGACAGTCAAGTCTGTCAGTCTTGGAGACTTTCATGTGTCTTTAGCCAAATGCTAAACTCCTGCTTCCACTGCAAGTTTTGTTTTCAGATGTAAACCATAATGTTTCTTGTAAAGAGCAGAGCATATGACCTCTATATTCAGTGCCAGTAGTGAGACTCTTAAACGAAGTTTTCATCCCCTGACATGGGCATTTACACAGTTATATTATATATTGATGCCATTATATTGTGAAAAAGAGAATGCTGTATCACTACATGCACAGGAGACTGAATAATTCCAATCCTTGGGAATACATAGTTTAAGCAAAAGTAGTAGTACATTCCACTCAACTTGCTTAAAGCAGTCATTTCTTCTTGTTTACATCTTGGGCCCTGAGCCTTTGGAAAGAGTACTTACTAGACTGTTTTTATCACATTTAGCAGGGCACTGTAAATGTGTACATAAGCACGTGATGGTTATCACTATGACATTATCTCTTGCTTCTGAGTTTTCTAGGTCCCTGCATTTCTAACCATAATTACAACTTGGGCTTATTTTAGAAATTAATCTTAGTTTACTACATTTAGTGTTTACATAAAATAGAAGACTTTTCAGTTTACCTGAATCAGAAACTTTCTTTATATCTGCAACCTGTAGGTCTTCTGACATATTACTAACAGAGTCCTCTTCACCTGTGTCTGCAGGCATTTCTGTGTAAATAATGCTAAGTCAATTAGGGCAGCACATTTGTGTACTACATAAGAACAGCTGTGCTGTGTCAAATCAAAAAATCCATCCAACCTCGGATGCTCTTTATGCCAGCATGCAGAGTAGATGCATTAGCAAAAATCTAGAAACGGCAACTGAAGAGTGAATCTTCCCCCAAAATGTACCTATAGTTTTCAGCCAAGACTGTGTTATATTTTTCTTGACTTCTTCCATTACTTCACTAACTTCTGGTCTTACATTTGGCCACCATAATATCATCCCCTGTGTAGAATCTCAACTGTGTAATAAAGAGTTTTAATTTTGTTCTTAAACGACAGTCATGTTTCTGGTTGTACATGCCAACAAAAACTGTTTAAACTCCTGGGTGGTGTAGGCTCATCAGTCTACTCTAATTCTTCCTTGATTGTCCATTACCAAGTTTCTCATCAATAAACATCCAAAACCAAAGGCAAGCTGTGCCAGCATTCTTAGTGCTATTCCTTTTGCTATTTTCATAGTTGTCTCACTAGTTTGGGAGTCTTGCTCCAAAGACCAATAAAACTGAACTATTGGGGACCATAAGAGAAAGACAGTTTAAATGTTAATTTTTTCAACCAATAACTACAGATTTCTTTTGTTCAGTATCTTAGTTTTTCCAGAAACATAGTCTGACCATCTCTCTGATCCATTTTTTTTTTAATCTAAGCTGGAAACAGTATCCTCTGGTGTATTTTGACTGGAATTGTCTCTTTGTATCACTTTTTCTTATCCTATGTCCTCATTTTTTTTGTCGTTTTGTTTCTCAGTTCTGCTAAAAAAAGGTACAGGGCAGTCACTCAATCTGAAATATTACCTTAGAACAATAAGACAAAACTACAAGACAAAATACTAAATTTTCATTCAGTGTTTCCCCCCACCCCAGCAAATTGGTTAATCTAGCTGGTTGATGGTTTTGAGTTGTTTTAAGGTCTTTCTAGTGCTGGCAAACTGAAAATGTTAAATGATATATGGGTAGTTGAAGTACTTACCTATGGAGTCCTTTTCTGATTTTGCTTCTGTCCATTCTGGAGGCCTCTCACTTTCATCAGTATCTGATTTACTTGCTTGTACCATGGTGCAGTGCCCCAGAATAGCATCCAGTTCATTAAAAAATTTCATACTTTTACTTGTACTCCCTGAGTCTTGGGCACTTTTTACACTCTTGTATTCATGTTTCAGATTTTTATATTTTGTCCTGCACTGCTTCCAGTCCCTGTCAATTCCAAACTTTTGAAGTCTAGCAGCAACCTGTTCAAAGATTCTTTTGTTTCTCACTGTTCCCTCCAGTTGTTGCTGGATATTTTTGTCTGACCATATGCGTATCAAAGCTCTGACTTCATTAACAGTCCAGTGTTTTCCTCCTTCATTTGCTACTGTTGGAATAAAAGTCGGTGGTTTGGCAGCCTCTACTGCTGACGTTGGATTACCTGCATCGTGTGGGGTAGGGGAAAGACACAGATACAGGTTACCTGCATTGGGTGGTTGGGGTGAGGAAAGGACAGAGAGAATGACAATGAAGTATGCTGTTTCCTCATGACTTGTCTCTCCAGAGAAAGATGGAGCAGAGGTGACATTAAAATCAAGCTATTGGTTATTCATTTGTCAGCATTTTTGTTAATCCTGATATAATTTTTGCCTTCCCTTGAATACCGATATTAAGATAGCACGTGTACATTTAATTAATGTAAGAGGAACATTTCTTTCTTCTGTGCCCTAACACACTGAACCTTTACTTGTAACACCTTTGAGAACAATTGATGAGCTGTTTTGTCCCTCAGACATGAGAGAGGACAGTGCTGTTGGAAGACTGGATGTGCATCATTAGCACAACAGTAAATTGGGCCTGGAGTCACTGACACCATCATCAAGACTTAATTTTCTGCATTCATGCCATACTTTTGGTTTGACACACACCGAGAGATTTAAACTGGTTAAGGATCTGAAGAATCTTAGCCTTAAGTCTTAACCAGGCACATTGGTTTTGGAGAGCTGAGGAAAGGAGGCTTTTGCTTAAGTCCAACGAGAACATTTGCGTGATAATGAAGTTGGTTCTCATGGCACAGAACTTCCACCTTTCTCAGTGTAGGTCAATCAAAAATATTTGTGTTTTCTAGTGAAAATTAAAATTTGAGTTATTCTGCTCTGCAAAACTAAGATATTTTTATATTTTCTCCAGTTTTCGACTTTATTTTTTAATATTACGAGTTAAAGGTTGTCACCCATTCATTTACTTACACTGAAATATGATATTTTTCAGTTTTTTAATGGTGTCTTGTTTCTAACTATGAATTTGCTCTAAGACTTTCTTTTGATTATCAAATGAGTTAGTGGTTTCTCATGCATTTTCTAAATCTTTTCAAAAATCACTATTTAAAGGAAAGCAGAACCAATCCCAGAGTATCATCAAAGAAAGCAAACATGAAATGCACAGTAGCTGACAGTTTTGCAGTCATTCTGAAGTGATAAATGCCTTTGCCAGTGCCTTTTCTTGAAGGGCAAGCCAGATTATGGGAGTTGGCTACTTTGCAGTCACTGAGCTTTGTGTGATGGTAACAGTATCTGACCTTTGCTTGTGCACAAAGCTTCAGTGGAGCATACTTGTGCATAATAACCTGTGTGGGGACAGACTTGTCTTAGACTGAGCCACTCTTTGCTAGTCTCCATGATTTATTCCAGTTGTGAAGAAGCTGTCCTAACAGTTACCATTTTTCTTACCCTGTAGTCCTGTGTTAATCAGGACTCTGCAGCAGCCAGCTCACTGGTAGGTTGTTGAGGAAGGTAATTTTCAGGGGACACATCAATTATGCTTTCTTCATGAGGGAGTGAAAGAAAATGCTAATTTACAGGTGAATGCAACCATAGGAATTGCCAGAGTTGTCAACTGCCAACATCAGATAGGCCAGAGACAAAAGATCTAGGGGAAGAAGAGAGTAAGAAGAACACAGAAGATGCTCCCTACACTGCCCAGTCAAAGCCATAGAGCATGGGACAGTCTGGGAGGAATAAGGTTTCTTTAGTCTTTCTGTAGACCAATGTTTCTCTCTAGTCAGTTTATTTCTAACTGAGCTCACTTTCATTGTGGATATTGGTTCAAATGAGTTTTGGTGACTTGGTATATTGCTTGTTCATTCTGCTGTATGCAGAGTGGAAAAAGGGTGGGTTTGTTTGTCCCTCATTCCCTTTATAAAACATGGTGATTCAAAATATCCTGCCTACAAGCACTGCTTTGAAACAAAGTTTTCACACTTTGTTATGGTCAGTGTGAAAATTGTCCTTATACCTTTAATATATTTTAGTTCTAATTTGTTTTTAAAAAAGTGAAGACAGGATAGACATTATTTTTTTATCTGAAAGATATGTTTATGCCATATTTAATTTTTTTAAGCTTCCTCAAAGATGAGAAATCTGCTGAAATGAAACCAAAATATTAAGCCATATAGATCCAAAGGGCTCAACATTTTTCTTTCAGTGTTGTCTGAAACATTGCCTGAAACCTAAAGACTACAAGAGATACTAGGGGAGAGGACATTTTAGTACCAGTACGTACTTGAGAGCCCGTGCAATTGAAGTAATTTTGTTGGCTTTGTAGAAAACGGCTTCCTCAGAATTGAAGACTTTTCTGCTCAGCAGTGTGTTAAGCACTGAGAAACACACACATTCCTATAAAATTGGATTCAGATACCTTCTGCAAGAAAAGTTTTGTTTATGCACATAAAGTATTTTATATGCGCATAAATTCCATGTGAGATTCCCCCCTCTTCCTTAATTTCTTTTTATGCCAGGCAAGAGGGGTGTAGTGCAGACTGTAAAAGTTTGTTTTCTCCCTGAATACAGCATTTGGAGAGTCTGTAATGAAAGTAGTTGTAACTGGACTAGAATGTATGCTAAAGCATGGAGGGTATATAAAAAATGGAAAGAGCACATGGCATATTCAGGACAGTGCTGCTGTTCACCCAGGCAAGGAATCAGCTCATCACTTGACTAAATCTACTAAATCTGCCTTGAAGGGGCTCACACCTAGGACCTTCTTCCTCTTTCTGGCTTGCCACATTTGTGCCTTTGCTCTGTAATGAAGTTCCTGAGCAAAATTACTAGAGCAGGATGTTTTCCAAATGAGCTGTTCTGTGGTTGGTTGGACTAAGGCATTGCTGACCACCCCTTGCTTGGAGTGGGACTTTGAAGCACTTTGAAGTTCACTGCAAATCTGGCTTGCTCTGCATCTGTCTCTGGCTCAGGCCATTCACTCATGCTGCTTTAAGCATCAGTGCTTTTAAGAAAATGAGCTAGGGGAAAGCCACAAATGGACATTGGTATCCACACTAGCATTTGGCATACTTCTCACTAGCATTTAACAAAATTAATGTGGTTAATGCGGTTAAAATGATGAAGCTACAGCATGGGATGTGTTTTGCATGTGAATGGTGCTCATGCAGATGTTACACCATATACAGTGGTCAGTGTCTAGTGATGCATGAGTCAGCTGAGTGCTCACACTGGGAAGGAGATGGTGCAAGAGCGTGGCTGTATTAAAGTTACATTGATCAGAAACAGAGTGACAGCATATTCAAGCTGTCAGAAGGTGCTCTGACACCTGTGCTGCTGCTTAGTTTTTGATCTCTCTGCACCATCATACTGTACCTAGTTGAACTGGTCTGACATGAGACATAAAAAGCAGTGGATCTCCTGGAGCATCCTCATCATCTTCTAATGAAACTGATATTTCACCTGGGAAGGAAAGAGTTTTTAGATGAAAAATAGGTATGGACTAAATTAGCTTAAATTAGTGTAAGTTAAAATGTCCATACACAACGAGAAGATGTTTAACTTGGTAATCTGCACTTAATTTATAGCTAAATTAAATTTAAAACTAATTTGACCTGTCTCCATAAGGGGACATGGAGGGGACAGGAGGTAAATTATTTTATATCTTGCATAGAAAGCTTGTTTGAAATGCTTTTAAAAATTCCCGTAGAACCTGACTTAATTCTAATGACTCGTACACTTTTCTAACTCAATATTCAGGGTGGGTAGCACATTACAAGTATAGTTCAAAAGGAGATAATGTAAAAGAAGAGATACACAAATAACGGTGGACTTTGCACACGAATTCAGATAACCACAAATCCATTCATGTAACAAAAAAAAATTCTGAGAAGAGTATGAAGAAAACAAGAACGTTCTGCAAAGAGTTCAGAAATCTATGGAATCCATTAATGGTATAGGGAGGGCATGAAAGTAATTTGACTTGAGAACAGACATATTTGTAGCTGACAGGATTCAGTCAAGCATTTTCCAGCATAGCATTTCTACATTTTTTAAAAAACACAAGTACATAATTGCTATGTAGATCTAAGTCAGGTTCTGAATCAGCTTGATTTCCACAGAGGACAAACTTTTAAGTTGCCCTGTGGTAACAGGCTGCGTTCAACATACTGTGTTGACAGGAGGTTTGAAATGTTGATTGACTGTATGGGGAGCTGAGCTACTGTCAGCTCCAGCCAGGCAGGACAGATCAAAGCTGCCTGCTCGAAGGCTCTGCAGTAGTTTGTCACAGGGAACAGTAACGAGGTGTGGTTAGGATGCAACCTGGTATCCCTGACGTAGGTGAAACTGAAAACTGCGTTTGAAAACATTATCCCAAATCCTCCTGACTTTGAGCGAGGCTCAGCATGACTCAGAGATTCAGTGGCCTGATCTCTGACTGCTCCCAGCTGTCTGCCTTGCTTCTCTGGCAGGAGCTGCTGCTCATGCCTCCACCTTCAGCGACAGGACTGGCATTTCAGCTGCTCACGAGCAGCAAAGCAAACTAGGGAGAGGGAAATAAATTCTCCATTGGAAGGCTGCTGAGTGTGCCATTGCCACTAGCCTGAGCAAGTTTAATTACACTGTCATATCAGAAGAGAAGCAATTTTTTATTCTAAGTAACTAAAAACAGTTACCACAAAAAGAGATTTGTATCTTTGATGGGGAAAGAAAAGTATTTGAAGAGAAAAAAAGTTACTCAATAAGAGTATTCCACACTTATTTAAAAAAAACCCCTATATAAAATACTTTTCAATGACATGTTTAATGTG